GTTATTTTGCCCATGTCATTATCGGTGTTTCAATTCCTCCTTGTGATTGGCAAAGTGAAAAGGGTTTGGTTCAAGTGTTTTGATTGAATTTGCCAAATAATTGAAAATATAATTATTTGTCAACGTAAAATGTTGTGTTAAATAAAATTAGGCTATGTGTTTGCCCATCGTGTCATCCTCGGTCGTCTGAGCAATCGTTGTCGTCGCAGTCGCCGCCGTCGTCGTTGTTCGATCTCTGTTGCTCTCGTGAGCTTGGGAGAGTAAGAAATTGGGACATGAGATTTTCTTCAAGGTAAGATTTATGTTAAGAGTTGTTTTCTCACTTGCGTGGTTGGAAGGGATGGGATAGTTGATTTTGTGATTCAATAGAGTAGTGGGAAATCTGCAACTGCAATTCGTTCACAGCAGTGTTGGCAAAATTTGTGTGGGTATTGTCTTTAAATTGAATATTGTTAATTTTTAGGAAAATGTTGACTATTTTGATAAGCAGTTTAATTTAACATAATTATTTTGAAGGAATAACTAACAAGTAAATAACCGATTTGGTTCAAAGAAGCATGAGGTCTAAAGCCAATACATATTTCGATGAGGCACATTTTTTCTTATCAAACTACATATATATACCTTCACTAGCCATAACGCGGAGTTTATACAAATTTAATCATTTTCTTTTGGGGTAATACCTGTAAAGAAGCTGTAAATATCTTCTTGAGAGAATATCCCAACAAAACCTATGGAAACTGATGAGGATCATTGGGGAGATCAGAAACATAGTCTTCCCTGTCTTATACCTTGGTAGATATTTTCATACTTTATCCACTAACAAATAGTTGTATTTATAAAATCAACAAACTGTATATAAGCCTGACTATTTTACGATAACAAAACACAAATGGTATCCCAAATAGCCCGCCAACCCTACTGTAGATAATTTGAAACAGAATTAAAGCGGAGGAGAGACATACGAGGATTTCAGGCATGCCTCTTTTAGCATTGCACTGTGAGTAAGAATTCCAATGTGTTTGGCTAAAAAGTCAATTTTAGTAAAAGAGGAAAATAGTTTTATATTTCAAATACGTTATACTTGAACGGCCCCTGATTTAAAATTCGTTGCGATGTTCAAACGGCTGGCCAATAAACGTAAAGAAAAATTCTTCTGAACTAGGATTGTTAACGTCGCACAAAAATAACAAAATGTCGGACCTATGAAATAGGATTTTTGGAAAATTCCATATAGTTCATACGATGGCTATGTAGAATCTATGAGAATTACTCGTTCCGTCACTTGATGCTAACACAATAAATATACCTTCTTGAATTAGTATATGTTCGAATAAAACAAAATTAAAATTTTAAACATCGGAATAATACGGAATATAGCTTAATATTTATTGAACGTTACAATAAATCATATTATTATTACGATATTATTTATTCCCTGCGTCCCTAAATTAAATGACTGACAGAAGTCCACCACCAGAGTTTTGATCAATTACATCGACTAGGGCAACTCTACACTTGTTTTCTCTTCAGTTGTTTTGTGTTTTTATTAAAGCCGGGCGCGAGTAGTTTGTCGATAGTTCCGCGAGTCGTGTTTTCTTTAATGTCGGCAATAATTTAGTGAGTCATCATCTGTAATTTTTTATAATTAGTTTAAACCATTTCACTTAATTCGATATTGTTATTGAAACTGTTACTTTTGTCGCTTTTTTAGTTTTGTGCGCAGTCTTTTTGCAAGCTGTCCATCTATTTTCTGCTTTCGTTTTGTATTTGTGTTCTTTTGCCCATATGTCATTGTCAGTGTTTCAATTCCTCCTTGTAATCAAAGTGATTGGCAAAGTAAAAAGTGTTTGGTTCAAGTGTTTTGATTGAATTCGTCAAATAATTGAAATTATAATTATTTGCCAATATAAAATGTTGTGTTAAATAAAATTGGGCTATGTGTTTGCCCTATAATTTGTTCTATCGTGATTTCGTTTGTTTATGTTTTTCGTGTCATCCTCGGTCGTATGAGCAATCGTTGTCGTCGCAGTCGCCGCCGTCGTCGTTGTTCGATCTCTGCTGCTCTCGTGAGCTTAGGAGAGTATGGAATTGGGACATGAGATTTTCTTCAAGGTAAGATTTTTGTTAATTTTATGTTGAGAGTTGTTTCTCACACGCAGGGTTGGAAGGGATGGGATAGTTGATTTTGTGATTCAATAGAGTAGTGGGACAAAAAAATCTGCAACTGCAATCGTTCACAGAAGTGTTGCCAATATTTGTGTTGGTATTGACTTTAAATTGAATATTGTTCGTACAAAAAAAAGACAGTAATTATAATAGATGTTCAGAAAGTAATATGAACACCACATTGTGGGCCAGAAATCCTTTTTTATTGGTAAAATACCCTTTAGGTAGTGAGGAAAGATAGAGTGTCCCTAATGTCGGCATGTACCAGTAGTCGGCATCTATTCGTAAAGTATAGACGTCCGTTGTACTGATCGGGAAGTTTTGTTGCCAATTTATTAAAAAATGGGAAAATGAAATAATTAAAAAAATTAAGTACAACAAAATTGTTCAAAATCCGTTTACATCGGTTGATAAAATATTCTGCAATGTCCCTTTATTGAAAACGTTTCTCTTATTAGGTAGCGTTAGTGTTCGTGTGGGTAAATATCTGCTGTGTTTTGTCGATGAAATCTGTGCGCGTTTGACTGCTAACTACATACACTTATTAACCGAAGATGGATAGGAACATCTTCGGTTAATAAGTGTTAGTTATTTTAGTCTCTGCTTTCCTATTCGAATTTAACGTATTACAAACACTTCGAAAGATAAATTTAGGGTTTCTTGTTCATCAGTTAGTGCGGGTTTAAACCATAGAATGTGGTTTATTTTCCACAGACGTAGATAAAACACAAATAATATAGTCAAAAAATAGTATCCGAAATTCAGTGTCTTAGCTCGACGTTTCATGCGAGTAATTTCAAAAATAAACATTATAAAGTGTAAAAAGTTGAATAAAAGTATGATTTCGAATATGTAGCGAGTATTTTAAATAATAAATGCACGTATAGCAGCGCAGGAATTTAAAATGTGTTTTTCAAGTTGTCCGACTACGTTGCTACTACCGCCCTCTATTGTTTGTTAGTACTATTCAGAAATACAATACAAGGTTCGTGACTTAGCTATATCGATTGCAACAATGGAGAGAGGTGAATTAATTTACACAGATCCAAATACGTTTGCCACCACAACTTCTTTGGTCTGTGTAAATACTATATTAACTCTGCAACCGGAATGGAACAAAGTCATACACCGCTTGGGGATACGCTCGAGGTACTCCTACAATTCCGATTATAATAACCTAGCAAATACCCGCAACTTCGTTCTCAGATATTTTCCATCTAAAAAAGAGTGATATTTTCCATTCATGCACCTATTATTGGTAAAAGAGCTGTCGCATCAGGTTCAGGTTTGTAAATCAATTCCTCTATAAATATCCAATTGTGGCAAAGTTATAACCTTTTCCACACTACTAGACATTCCACTTAAGAATTGTATATAAGTCGTTTATTTTGGTAGTTGTTTAAGTCCATTCTATGTTCTGATGCAAATCTTGAATTTCTAGAAAACTTTACAAACCATATTATGTTATGTATTCAACTATGTTTAAGGGCACAAAATCACAAACAAAATTAATTAATTAATGCTGTAATTATTTTTTTCGAATTTTGGGACGAAACTTTCAGCGCCTCTGGATTGTGGGTCATTGAATCCAAAAATTTGACATGTATCCTTTTTTATCACTGTTCGGGTAAAAGGGGTTTTTAGATGTTTTATTGATCGTCTTATGAGCGTGGCCATATGGAGACGCTGGCACAGCTCGGGTTAATACCACTTAGAGTATTTTGTGCACACGTATAGTATACCAAAAAAGCCAACACCATATACCAACCCGAATTCACAAAAATCCCCCTCTTTTTTCAACCCTAATCACCGGAAACGTACCTCATACTTGATTTTCATGAATCTACCTCTACGCTTCCACACACTACATATTGTGCTAAATGAAGTTCAATTTCTTTGGAAGTTCAAACTCTTTGGACGCAATAAAATTTTCAGAATTTCAGCTTTTTTCAGTGACCCAATATCAAAGATACTAAATTTAGTAGGATTTTATACTTTTCGTAGTCGATTAGAACGATTTCTTCTTAATTCAACTCTATTCACAAACGGTAATACCAAATTCTAGGTATTTTATTTATATTGTGTGACCTAATCAATACAAATTATAATTGGTATACTAAATTTCGTACACATTTAGTACGAGTTTTCATAAACTCTTCCCTCTCTACGTCGCTCCTTTTCACATCCGCTCTACGCTCCATCCAGATCCTTCAGTCCCGATTTCAGTTATATTATAGTGAACTTTAGTACATTCCAAACCTTATAGTACAAATTTCCACAAACCCAGCCTTACCACACATCCACGCATCAGTACTGATCCGCCTAGATTATAATCCATTCGGAAAATTTCGTATGTTACGCTTTTATAAGTACAAAGTACGATTATAATATTTGTCTTATGTTCTCTATTATTTCTATAAAATAAGTAAATACAAACATATATACGTACTAATGAAGATAATACATATTCGAATCTAAAACTAATATTTAAATCTATAAAATATATTATGATTTTGGAATAATGCTCCGAAAGGCATAACAAATGACGTCGTCGTCCTGTTTCGGCTCGTCTGTGGAACAGCATCTCAATGTTATACGGCACAACAATGAGATGCTGTCACGTTGGTTTTTGGTAGTTGTGGACACAACAGTGGTGTGTGCGATTGCCAATGTAAGTCAAGTGAAATTCGGGTATGAAAATGTAGAAAAGTAGGAATGATTTAGTTTTCTATTCGATTGAAAAAAGGAATGCCAGAATAATCGGTAAAAAAGCTCACAGTCAAAACTGAAAGCGCCACGTCCAAACTGATGGTGTGTACTCGCCCTTACGTTCATGACCAATATTTGGCATCGTTTTGTGTATGCGGTATGTGCTGATATGGAGTTGTTGCACCGGGAGCAGCAGCAGATGGGCCAGTGATGGTGGGGACACTGTTGTGTGTTAAGGATGTGCCAGCCGCGACAGCATATTCGTTGAGCTGGGCATGGTGAGCAGCTGTATAATTCGCAGCGGCTGCTGCTGTCTGATAGGCGGCAGCCTGAGACCAATTCGTGGCATTCTCTAATTTAGGATAGTTGTCGTTGAGGTGGAGTGAGGGTGACATTTTCGAAACACTTTCGGCTGTAAGTTTGGAGAAATCATCTATCGAAAGCTTTGAGTAGTCTGCGCGGAAAAAAGAAAAATTTCTATGAGGTCATATTACGAGAATACTGTCAGCTAGACACTTACCTTGGTGATAGTAGTTTTGTGTGGGGAAATGTGTGTTATGGAAACCGCTGGAGAATCCTTGGTGGGCCGATTGAGCTGCCATTAAATCGTAGCTGCCCATCTGTGTATGATGGTGGTGATGGTGGGCGGGATGGTGAGCCGCAGCTGCTGCTGCCGCCACGTGTACACTGTGCTGATCATTCATACCCGTGCTGGAGGCTGTACTACCCGCTGCTGGACTGTAGCCCATGGAACCCATTGCCAAGGAACCAAATGGCAAAGCACTTGCTCCAGTGGCGGCCGTTCCTGAAGACGTTTGCACGCCTGCATTATTCGACGCACTGTTCATGTTAGCACCACCCGAGTGTTTGCGTAACCTAGCTCGCCGATTGCTAAACCACACTTGTATTCGCGCCTCTGTTAGTTGTGTCGTTTGTGCCAATTCCTCACGGGTGTAGACATCGGGATACTGGGTGCGGGCAAACGCTCTCTCTAGTGCCTCCAATTGATCGGCGGAAAATGTTGTACGCGATCTCCGTTGTTTTCGTTTTAAAGGTATGCCTGGTTCCGATTCTGTATCACTGATATCCGAATCTCTCCCTGAAAGTAAGAACAGAAACATCATGAGAAACGCATATAGCAATACACTGTTGCGCTAATCCCACAAAAAGGCCCGCACTTGTTCATTCCCCACCCATTTTTGTCATATGAATTGTCATCAGTCCAAAGCCGGAAGGACACTCATGTATTTAGCCACACACAGAAAACCTTATCTCCGAAAGGGAACTAAGTAGGCTGTTAATCAATTGGATGGATTCTCTTTTAAATTGCGACTTCCGGTTTAATGTAGGAACAGATATTACTCAATGTACAGGAATGATTGATTCGGGTATGGACAAACGATTATTTCATTTACAAGCTCCTTATTTATTGAGTTTTAGCAGTATATTTCTCACAATTCAGCTTGAATATTTTTCAAATTTTTAGTGCACCGTTTTAGTAGTTTTAATACAGCAAATATTGCTCTATTAAAAGAAACGATTACTCTTTCAGTTCTTGGATACATAAACTGCTGAATTTCCATCAGCCATAATATAAACTCCACATGTAGACTCTTAAATTGAAACAGAGCAGCGGGAACACCAGTATTTTTGGCTGATCATTGCGACAGAAGAAATACTTTAGCGTAGCAAATCTGTCAAACGACACCGCCGCCATTAGTGAACATTAAAAATAATGTCTAATAGGCTTCGACAAATTTAGACCGGCCCACCACGGTAGTTCACAGAAGACTCGGGTTGTGTAACCAGACATTTCGGAGAGATATAGCTCATGCGCGACAACCAGTAACCGATTCAAATATGCTTTATTTGACAACTTCAATTCGGGCAGTGGCTACAAGAGCTGTCATAAACGGAATCGCCGCTTGTTTGTTTCGAGTAGCAGTTGACAGTTGGAATTGAGTTACAAACATGTAAATATCAATAACCAACCCCGAATGTAACATGCACTCTTCAAAATCGCCAAACCGCGACTCTAATGCCGACCACCCACCAAGGCTGTTGTTCCCTTAGTGTGTGCATCATTGATTCTGCTTCGAGGAAGACCATTTTATGGTAGTTTGGATATGCTGATCCTAGAAAGGATTTATATATGTACGTGAGTTTTCAATGCCGCATTTTACTATTTGGACAGGATATTGCAATGAGTGGAAAGTAAACGCAGCATAAAACCATGAAGAAACCGGTTTAACCAACGGAAGATGTCAATTGGACGGATGGGCAGTGTGTACTCAGAAAATGTGAATCAATAAGTTGTTTTGATATGAGTCGCTAGTTTTGAAAGTGATTTAAGTCTATTTTTTCCTATATGGAGATATGTAAAGTTTTGGGTTTGATTAGTTCCAAAAATAGTGTGTTAATTTTGTTTGTGGCTTTGTGACCTTAAAGGATATATAACGTAATATATTTATATCAGAGCCCCAAATGGACTTAAACCACGCCACATATTCCGCTTAACAGAACAGCAGATAACGGTTAACTGCTCCAATCGTATACTTTCCGTGTGTTTTCTTCGTCCCATGTACCCATGTACTTGCGTCAATTTTTCTGCTGTCAGCACATAAGAACCCACGTGGAAACTAGCGTCGTATCTAACGCTTTCTGGCATTAACATAAACAATATTTGATTCCCCCTATACCCTGCGAACACGAGGAATACAGGTTAGCCCAAGAGTGACAACAAATTAATAATATATTTTGTAACTGATCGAGCCTCACGTTAAATCAAAATAAAACACGAAACCCAACTCAGTTTCGTTGTGTCAGTTCCCAACAATCATCTTTGTTGGCCGGCAACGGCAGCCCAACGAAATGGGAATACTCCGGCAGAGACACAGAGATGAAAGCGACCGTACAGGACACCCTGCTGAGAACCAAAGAAGCCGCATCGTGGCGGTACATTTGTACACCACACGCCTGAATGTTGAATATAAAGCCGACATGGCTTTTGTTCGGTTGACACTTTTAATCGACGACTATAACAGATTGGAGCAGAGGAACAACAGCCGCAAGGAGAAGGAAAGTGAATTAAACATCTATACCACAACAATACATCGTTAACTGGCGGTTGGAAGGTCTGTGAGCATACCGCGGCTTTCCTTCCTGGTCCTATGGTATTTAGGTGGCCATTACCCTAATGGCCATTTATGATAGCAATGGTGGTGGATGGCGACCGCACACAAAGGCTATACATAATGAGGTGTTCAAAACATGACTTTTTTGCGCAATCACCGTCGGCTTCTTGCGCCAATAGATCAATGCTTGAAGTAATAGAAAGAGGACAACGTGTAAAACATTTGACGCCTCCGACAGGAGATCAAATGCTTGCCGCCATCACTTTGAGCAAAAACATCCGAGAATGATCTTGGGAGGCGTCTTTGTGTCTCACAGAAAATCCTGCAGACCTTCCCACGTTGGTGCTGTTGTCTGGTAACAATGGCGATGTGTACATTCGTCAATCAGAGTGCGGTGTCGAACCTGTTCTGCACAACAATGCAGAATCCATTCTGAGGCACACACTGTAGATGTGGTGGCAAATGTTGCGGCACGAATGTCCTTGTATGAAATGGGAGTTCTCAGTGTTTGTTATTGCTCTTTCACATTGCAACAATAGGTTCCGTTGTGTCTGTGACCAATGTTGTGCCTTTGCCCTATTTTAGTTCCCTTAATCTTCATTAGCTGTGATATTTTCCATGGCCTTTAAAAAAAGTATTGATTGGCTCAAGTGATTCGGTAGTTTTTTGTAACTTTACTTGTCGGCATGAAAGATGTATTGTTAGCCCGTCATTGTTTCCCACAATAAGTGGGTTTGACTTTTGGCCCGGCCAAACGATTCGAAACGCTAACAAACAAAAACTAAAACAAATTACCGCATTACTTTGCAGTTTTTAAACACATTTCAATTGTAAACCACTTCGGAATATTCAAAAGGATATTAGGACCACAATCGGCAAGTTTTACAAATTAGATCCGAAGGCACCTGTACATCACTCGGAAAATGTATATTGGACTTGCATTCCACAGCAATGGGTATTTAAATAAAGACCAGTACTTGGCTATGTAAACTCCTGGAGGCATTGCCGAATCTACAGTTTACAATTAAAACAAAAACAAAAGATCTGGAATATTTTGAAAGAAAAAAAAACTAAATACCATCTGATAGTTTGATAAATCGAATCAAGACAAAATCGCGTCCTACCGAAATAATGGATTTCAATAATACGTCGTTATTTAAATCATTTGACATAGCGACATAATTCTGCATTGTAAATATGTGTTCCGAGAAAGGATACGTTTTTTCAAACCCGTATTATTAGGGGTCATTTCGTTGCAGAAGCACAGAAATAAGATCGGCATCATAAAACATTGATTTGGTGATTTTGGAATGACCAGTAGCTGAGTTGTGCCGAACATTTGACATAATACACCTATTTATGACATTTTAAACCGTAAGCTATCATCCATATGTGCGTCTGTACAAATGCCCGTTTATTCGATTGGTTCAAAGCGCCGAAATGACAACACACTGCCAGTGCTTTAAACACATTAATTATTAATTAATGTATGCATGGCTTTGGCATTTAATTAATTTTAGTCGAAGTTCGTGTCTCTCAACCTGTATTTTGAGTATTATTGTTATTAATAAGTACCGCTTGGTTTGCTAAAGAGGTGTCGAAAGGGCGTTTAAACGGTCGAGCGTGTGCGATCGATAGCGGAGTACAAGCCAGTTACAGATATCAATTTATTAATGCCATATTAAATAACAAGCGTCTTTGTTCGTTACAGCCTTTGGCGGTGAGGTTTTTCCCAAACGCAGATAGGTACATTTCTTTAACACTTTCAAAGGAGATAGACGATTATCTAGATCCATTAAAATTTTTCCGAATAAAATATTGGTTAGACCGTTGACCATCCCATGGATATCCTAACTTATCTTCGATCTCTGCGATCTGCGATAGTGTACCGTCGTTTACGCGGTAGAAATGTGTTTTTATTCACTGATTACACGATTAATTACTGAACATATTCGAGGGAATGGATGAAATAGATTGATGGCCGCTGGTGATTAGGTGTTTGACTGCCTCAGACTGGTCGTAGCCTGATGTCAAACCGATATTGATTACACCTTTGAATTGTGACAGTTTCCTTCGGGAACATGACCTTTTATAAATTCTGCTCATAGAGTATGTATGTTTGTCCATCCAAATGTAAACGGATAGAGGAGGGGGAGTGGTGTACATATTGCCACTGGTGGCGATCAAACTTTAAGCCGTCGTGTTGTTTTTTGGGGTCAGCTTTTCAATGGAAATTAAAATTGAAGTACAATTAAGCTGCCACGGATCGAACGAAACCGCTTTACCAACCTTCGGATGATTGAGAGACATACATTAGGTAGAGACATGCAGGTTAACGTGTTATTTGTCATTGACCAAGATCAATTGATTGTTGGTAGCGCACAATACTTTCTTCGGTTTGAACGGTGGGCTGACACCCTTCTTGCTTCGTGGCGGTATAATAGGTCTGTCCTTTTGAATGTGACTATAATGGAACATACACTGCGTGTGGGATTCACCAATAAACTTAATCCATTGAATGATTCTCCGATGTGTGTCACTTCCATAAAGGCCACATAAAATTGTACGAACCAAAACCCGGAAAAACATATTTGTTTACAAATGAGGATGAACGAAAAGTAATGAATATGCATGGTGGAGGGAAAGATTAATCTTAGTACGTTTTTCATTTTTACATCATTACAAATTGTAATAGTGTTTCCATCATTAAATAACAACATTTAGGTGAAGGGTGCATATAGTTCGACATAAGCTAACTAATTCGAACCCACCAACAATTCTATGACGGTGTGCCGGTAGGCACAGATTACGTATGTACATACATTGTCATATTTGATGGAAGGTATTGTCATCGATCAATGTAATCCTCTTCTGTTGCGGTGGCCATGAACAAAAAAAATTAACATGACGAGAAGCCATGTTAGAAAGAGCCATTTAAATGGACGAAAACAATTTGAACAGTTACTATTCGAATTTACTGGAAATGGGCATATTTGGTTGGCCATGATCACCTACTATCAGTATATATATATATAACTAAAACTAATGTGCCCATATAATAGGCACTATTTTTAGGGCATATTCAATCTGTTAGGAATTTACTTGTTGTTATGCCCAGCGCTACTAATCTAATATTTGTGTGTCGACATGCCCTTTATAATCCATTAGGTCTTCACTCCAAACCGTCTTAGCGAATTTTGAATAGAAACATGAATCAATGACTACCACATACCGACAATGTCGGCCATTTGAAATGTCACAATATTTTCTCTAACAGGAGGTTGAAAATCTATTCATGCATTGAGCCATTCAATTTCACTCGCATTCACGTAACACAATGTGACAGATACTAAAACAAACATTAGCCATTAACCAACCAACCCACCAGTAGCTGCTATCCTGACTCAAAGTCCTGACCTTGTGCACAATTTTCCCATAACATTGCAGCGTGTATGTGTGTGTGTGTGTGGAAATGGCATTGTTTGCACAACATTTCACTTGTCGCCGTCGTTTTGTTTTTAGTCTATGTATATTCTTGTTTTGCTCCTATTCGCTCCTATTCCTGTAAAATAGTCCGTAGACTGTCGGTTAGGCAGTTTATTCCTCTGACGACAAAGACAATGCCAATTTCGATCTCTGATCTAACCGCATCCTTTTTGCATTCCATTCAATTTTCATTGAGGGAATTGTAATTAATGATGGTTGTGATGATCGTCGAGTTTACTTGACACCCCCATTTGGAAATCTTTACAGGTACGCTAATCGACTTCGCTGGGTCCAGTTCTGTTTCTGTGATATTCGGCTTGTTCGATTTTATTTTAACACAATTTTCTACCAATTTTTCTCATCAATAACGAGCGCTTTGGTCATTAACACTTTTACACGATCGTTTCCTTAGTTTATGTTCGATGCGGCTGGGCTGCTTCAAAGTGTTTTATCAGTTTTTTATCAGGTTACATTAGCTTTACTACGCTGAACTGGGCGAGAGAGGGAAGGGGCGGCAGCTATTTGGAAGATCGTTTATCGCATGACTTTGCATATTTATAGAATTAGCCTGCTTTCTAGATATTGAACCCGTGTAAGGGATGCCTGTTTGGGTTGATAGTGGGATTTTTTGAAATTCGGCTTATTAGTTGTTGTTGGCAGCAGCAACAACAACAAACAAAGGTGAAAAATAAACGAATCATTACCGAATCATCATGATCATCATCCGTTTTCAAAGGTGTCATCATCGACACTTGCCTTTGATGGCCGGCCACGATGGACTGGGCTAAATGTTACAGATTTCATGGGATGGAGTAGTTTGTTGTCAGTGTCCAGCATTTGATGAGAACCAAATAGAAAGACGAAACACAAGAAACACCAATGGACTATGATCCGATTTGATGTCTTTTGTACATTAGTTGGGAACATTCAAGTGTGTTGTTGTTACTACGATCTCCCCGTTCGCTGACTACCATACCCATGTGTCTTAGAGAGGTAACAGCAGCGGTCGTTTCCATTCGTATGACTTTCGTTAAGATGATCAAAGGCTGGTGCCGCCGCCTGTTGATTTGTGCAACAAATGATTTGATGATGATTTTCAAATTATCGAATAAATGATCTATAATTTGATCAATAAAAGTGATTTTAACATTCGGTCTTCCATCTCTCCGATCGCCGCGTTCCAAGCGGTGTATCGTCGCCCTTTGCCACATTGTGGATTGGATTGTGTGACTTGTTGTGGAAGGTGTTTCAATTAATTAAGGCCAATTTTTATTCCGATTTGGGTGCTTGTTGATTCTAGTTTTAAATTTCCTCTTTAGAAACTTACCGCCTAAGATGCCATGTATGCTGTAGTCTTTGCGCCCATCATCGCTGCTGCGATCGTTGCCTCTTAACAATCGGCTTATCGATGATGTTGAGGGCGGATCGGTGAAGCCTTCCTGTGGACAGACAAGAGAAAATGTGATAATTAACATAAATGTTCAATGCACAAATAAATAGCTAAAAAAACAGGAGTAAAGACAACATAGTATTCAAACTAGATGGGGATGTGTCGAACGTTCTCCAAGCCCATATTGGCGAATGTGTACATACTTGTTGTAAATGTGCATAAATGTGGTAAATGTATATATGTACAATGGTCGGGCATAGAGCAATCACTCAAACGTAACGCGATGTCCATCCAAATGTCAACTAATTAATTAAATTTCAATTGAATTTGTTGAACTTAAGACGATCTATGTACTCACACACGTCATACCACATACACACATTCCAACGAGCTTGCGTCAGGGTGAAAATTCATTTATTTGAAGACTGCGTTGAAGTCAACGCTGAAAATATCCGAACAACACCGCCTGCAAACCAAACGTATCTTGTCAGAAAACGGGATAAGCCGTCACATGAATGGAAACCAACACACTACCTTTTTGGTGCATTTATTAACCGACATGTGACACCCGACATACTAACAACTGGCAGGCAGCGTGGAATAACATCAGAACACATGGATTCAACTTTTAATGCAGTGCCAACTGACAATGTTCCAATATACATGACCTGTTTTAACGTTGCTGTGGCCATCGTCATCCCAGTCGACAGGTCACAACAAAATCTTGTACGTCGTAACGTTCTTCCTTGTGTGTGCATGTACCAATACCGGACCGACTAATATGTCCTATCGTTAGGGGAGAATTGTATTAAATTACAAGAAAGAAGCGTAAATGTGGGTCGATTTTCCGGAAATGTAGGTCGATTTTCCGAAACAGTCGTTAGTGTCTTAAACAAATTTGCAATTATTTTATTATAGTTTGTGTAATAGTAGTTATTTATCATGAAATAAATTAAATATCACTAATGTTTTATAATTAGGGATGATGTTCGGACTTGATTTAGCTTTGGCAAATGGAAACACAAATTTATGTACAGGACGTAAGGGTTTTAATTGAGAGAGAAAGATACCTTGGGGATAATTATTTCCAGAACAAATAGCTTCCCACACCGGCGATTTTCCTCAAATAATTGATTTAAAGCAAAACGACATTTCCTAGGATTTACAAGTTTTGGAAATGATGGAGTAGATCTATGGGAGCCATTTTCAGACATGACCTGGGTTTGGTAAAAATGGAAACTTGAATCGGACATTCCATTCGTATTATTTTGAGGTACTAGGAGTGGTGAACCATTTTACTAGTTGGTACATTTAAAATATTTTGTTGGGAAAAATTAGTTCAAATTGGATAGTCCGTTCACATGATATTATAAAATTGATTTTCGCCAAAATTTTGACAATTTTGTGAGGGACGTACCAGAAGGAGTGGACCGATATTCCCCAACTTCGAACTTGACTTATGATTGGGAGAAATAATACGGGAGTTATCGTTCGCACCAGCCAGACAGACTCACAGACGGGCAGGGCGACATTTGTAAATCGACTCCAAATTGTCTGAAACTGATTTGGGACAAATATGGGGTCTAAAACCAATCAGCCAGCCAGACGGACTCACAGACGGGCAGGGGGACAATTGTAAATCGACTCCAAATTGTCTGAAACTGATTTGGGCCAAATATGGGGTCTAAAACCAATCAAACATTACTATTGGAGTTTTGGGGAGAACGGTCGATATTTGAGGGGACAATACCCACACAAATATTGGCAACTCTGTTCTCCTCTCCACTCTCTCGTCCATGACATTTGCAAATGATCCCAATTTACATTCAACACATCAGTCAAAGAGCAGTGGTCAAAGTGTTCGCGCATACATTGTTGTGTTCTTGTTTATTACGTAAAAATGTTTACTTAAACTAAAAATGAAATAGATTATTTTCCATTGGAATTTATATCGATTCATTACATTAACATTGTTTAATATACTCCTTCGGAAAGATTGATTGTCGTGAAAGAACAAGTCGTATGGCTCGTAGATTTCTGGTTAGCACGTGTGTTTCTTTTTTCGTTTTTATGCATTTCTTTCGTCGTGTTATGACAGTACTCGGTTGCGGTCGTGTGTGTTTTGGTTTATTTCGTGTGTACATATGCACATTGCACAATTGACGTTTGCTGGCAATTGCGTTGATGTGACGTCACCTTTGCATTGTAAAATAGAAGTGTGTTGTTGTTGTGGCGATGAATAGGAGAAAAAGGCAGACCAACAAAGATGACATTGCAGTTTGGGTAGTTGATCAGTATCACAACAATGGCATACATAATATTTTACTACCTTTAAAATGTTCGGAAAAGAATGAATTAAATACGGCTTTATAAAAACTATGGAGAACTGAATTGCAAGTGTGCGGGGTATGACCAATCATGTAATATCTTCGTAATAATAAGTGCGCGGGTGAAAGTGTTTGCGTTTTTAGAAGCATGTTTGTGCCCAGCCGCGTCAATGTCGCGTGTGTTTAAAAACATTTTTCGTGATTCTGTTCTCAAGTTCAAAAACCCTGAGCAATAAGAAGTATTAAGAACAAGCATCAAATTAGCCGTTCCCTGCATTTCATTAAAGGTATGTTTGTTTTAATCTTGTCCGTATTGAAATATACATACATGGTTATGTACATTGGCAATTAATTTAGATTTGAATTTAATTTCTCTGGTGATTTGTCAGTGTCAGTGAAATGTAGTTAAGGTACTCGCGCACCATTTGTTGTGCTCTTATTTAATTAATAAATTTTGTTAATATACCAATGAAGAAACAAATAATAATCGAGTGGAGACTTTTGTTCGGTCCATAGCATTTCGTATGTGTAGTTACTCCTTCGGAAATGTCCTGGTTGTCGTGAAAGAACAAGTTGAATAGGCAGTAGGTATCACGTCAACACGTGTGCTTTTTTCGTTTTTTTTTTTGCATTTCTTTCGTCGTGTTATGACAATAGTCGTCGGTTGCGGTCGTGTGTGTTGGTTTATTTAGCTTTTTGCATTGCGTTGATGTGACGTCACCTTTGCATTCTACAACAGAAGTGTGTTGTTGTTGTGGCTGTGAATAGAAGGAAACAGCAAACTAAAAAGAAAACATTGCAGTTTAGGCTGTTGATCAATACACTGCAATAGGCTGGTTGTCTAGCGTATCCATGTTTAATAACATTTTCCGCGTTAGAGAACAATTGTGATCCCGCTCTGAAGTTCAAATCCCGTGAGCAATAAGCAATATTAACAACAAACATTAAATTGACCATTCCCTGCATTTTATTAGAGGTGTGTTTATTTTCATCGTTGTCATATTGAAATATATTTATTTGTTTAGGACAAAAATTTTCATCAAACTAAATTTATTTATTAAGCAAAATTAGGTTTTTTTGACAATGAGTTTTTTTTCAACAGGAGCCATAATTCATGTTTCTTATGAAAAAATAATAAATATTTAGATAAGGCCATCTTTGAATAGCGCTCATAAAATCTCGATTAAAAATATTTCCGACACGCAATATATTTTTTTTATGTGGTAACGTTGTTTTCTAGCAGCGTAAACAACTTTGGCTAGCGTTAGATTGTCGACAAAATGTAGATGAGTAAACCTTTTTTAGCTGATTTCGCAGTGCCATTGTAACTTTTTAATTTTGGTTGTAAGGGCGCAGGAAGAATTCAGTGATCGTTTTCTTTCGTTAAACAATTTTTTATTTCCCTAAAAGATCAATATAAACTTAAGTAAAATGCCACAGGTGGGGTACCTTTGAAAATGTAAATAGGACAACAACAATTTTGATGTCATATCGTTTTTTTGTTTTTTTTTTTTTAAGGATGGCTCAAAATTGGTGGCTAGGCACGTATAGTATTATCAACCCTGTTCTCAACTTTCTCCACTTTCATATCAGTGACATTTCAAAATTCTCCCACTTTACCTCCAACCCTTCAAACAGTGAAATGTACTTTAGGCGTTTTCACATCATTTGTGATTTTCTTCGAGTGGAATCGTCGTGCGGCAGTATGATTTTCTTTTATTTCGTCGTGGATCTGTTGTTTCGCCGATAAAATCGTACTTAATATTAAATCACTAATGCAGAAAATAGTACGATAGCGGTGATGGCTAAACACGTATTCTCTTTTGGTCAGTCATTTTTGATTATGGTATCTCACTTACGCTCCCCCACACTTACTCACGATTTAGTTATGTTAAACACTGTATAAAAGCCACACTGCAGCATGAAAGAGCTTCCGTTTTCTAAAGTATGTACTTTGTGGCCAATGTCGCGTTCACTTAAAAGCGTCGTCATAATCGTTCCCTGCTTTTTATTAGAGGTAAGATTATTCTTTTTTTCAGGAAGACTGTACAATATTTTAAGAATGAGAAAGTGTAGCTAACATTTCGAGGATTATGTCTGTAGGATATGTGTTGCTAATGACGGCATGTATCAGTGGTCTGCATATTTTGTATCTAACTGATAACTAAAAATCCTATGATAAATTATGAAAAGTACCATGAATAATCTTCAACTATACTTTGATCTACCTCAGCTGCAAAATAAAATATTTTTCATTCGAACACGAATGAACGCACACAACGTATTAAAACATCAAATTATTAAATCATAATTGTTATTGTGATATTTGTATCTATGCCGTCTTCTGGAACAACAAATGTCAGGGTTTTACTGAAGTCAGTATATGGGTGGAGATCAACCATTATTGAACAATTGTTTTCTCAAAATTGGGATGGTTTTTACATGTAAGCCCTTAAAAACAACAATAAGTAAATCTTTATTTAAGCATTTAATAAAAAATCGATTCAAAATATAAGTACAATTTATGCTTTGTTAAAATACGACATTCCGACTATGGGAATGTGCTGGCGAATGTTGAAAAAACACTAACCAAAATATCAGTTGTTTTTCTAGTTCACTTGGCATTGCATGCATCTTCAAATTGTAGGTGGATTGTGGCAGAAAGGCGTCATTCATACCCGGTTAACAGTACAAAACATAAACATTAACATTTTGAGATATTTTAAATAAACATGCAAATTATAACTATTGAAATATTCCAAGTAATGAGTATATGCTTTCTATTTTATGTAAATTTTGAGTACTAAAGCGCAATTCCAATGACTGTTTCAAAATATCTCCTCGATATAAGTTCGCTCGGTCTACAATACCATTTCACTTCTAACCGAAGTAACTTTTGAATTTTGTAAAATTGAATTGAATAACATGTCTTCCTCATTCATTTTGGCATAATTATCTACGTTGTGAAGTACGCAAATCGCCTTTTCTCCTACATTCTACTCGGAAGCTGTGGCATCTGCAATATGCTACGTTTTACTCTTCCTAAAACAATATCTTTGTTTATTTTGAATATTGCAGTTGTTTCGTATTATCTGCTTCCCTCTATCCCTTGGTCGCATTTGAATTGACTTCAAATTTGATAACCTACTGAATATACAAGGAGGATAAGAACAAAACACTGGTAACGTTTGTGATTCTCCTAACGTTTTTCATATTCTAATTGAGCGTGAAGCGCACCTGGAGGCAGTATTTGGCCCATTCGTCTAGATCTGCACCAGAAAGAAAATGTGGTCGTAACCTATGTATAAATGGCGGATGGCGACGATGTGTGTAAATTGTGCAATAAGACAGTCGGTGTCGGCAAACATAACTTATTCCATTCTCTCCTTAAACGTCTTTTTGGTGATGCTGAAGTCCATGACTTCGATATAATCAAATATCCCAACGATAAGATCGCAGTGGATATGTATCCAAAATTCTGCAGACACATATTAAAATCCATGTATACAAAATGCGGGAAATAGGGTTACAATATGTTGTATGGCTTGGAGATGTGGTAGTTCTATTATTCCCTTTCTGTGACATCGGGATATTCCTGCAGCAAGCATCTAGATATGAATGATGGAAGTCATGACATTTCTGTGACAATGTCTGAGTGTGTGAGTCTTTGCACACCCTTCATTGTATAGGATTGTCATGGCCGAAATATGTACAATGGTTTTCAAGGTGTCATTGGCAATAAACAGCATTGGACATGCATGCAGAGAGAAGGAGAGAGACAGAAGATGACAACAATGGATGCAAAATGAGAGTAAAGATCTATACCGGCACTGGTAAAAGTGGCGATCGTGCCAAGGCGGAAGTTGTGCTCTGCGCTCTAATGTGACATTAGAGATTGCACCTTGTTGCCATTCGTAATGGCCTTCTTAACGGTTTGGGTGGCGAATAGTCTGTCCGAGGAAGTGGTGCCTGGGACCTATTGTCGAGATTTGAATTTCCGACTCCGAAAAGGTGCTGTTGTGCCCCTAATACTATAAACATTGTCAATGGGGTGCTTCGGTAACAATAAACGGAAGTTGGCCATCGTAGGTGGCAACACGTGACTTTTGGGAAGTCGGAACTATTCACTGCGAAACAATTTGTTTTATTTGCGTGGTTTCTATTGCGGCACAAACAATTACCAATTCGTTGCGATTTAGTTTTGTAACTCACCTTTATCAGTTTCTCTCTTATTTCCCAGCTGAAAAGTCCTGGATTGGCTTTGCACATTTCCTTAATTCGGGCCTCAATTTCAGGCGAGGTAACTTTAGGTTTGGATCCTCCTATTACGCCGGGTCGAATGGAACCGGTTTCCTGGTAACGATTCAGAATCTTCGAAACGCAGCCGTGTGACACCCGCAACTGTCTAGAAATAACACATGGTCGAATTCCGCTGCCAGCCATTTCGACAATTTTTAATCGGATGTGGTTAGGAAGAGGTCGGCCATTGATGAAAACGCCTCCAAGCTGATTAACACGTCCCTGACCTGCAAATACAATATATTACGGTACAATTTTCGCGTAGTGTGCTAATATATAGATATATCAATGGCCGATAATATATATATATATATATATATATATATATATGTATATAGAAATTCGTGAACTTATTGCCAACTATTATGATCTATGAGTCGTCCTTTTGGGTAGATAATAAACGTTTGTGAAACAGATTCTCAAAATTCTCGTCTGCTCACTAAGAATATTTCCGTATTATGTTCTATGGAAGAAGATCGGCTAATATGCCGTCTTCTGTAGACTTCTTCTGTAGAAGATGATCGACGACTTAGAAGATAATTTTATTAATACAGTCGAAATCGCTTATATCGACGGTGAGGGACCGCGGGAAGTTGGTCTTTATAAGTGGCATACACATATTTTGTTGTTTTGATATATAGCAAAGTACGGTTATAGCGAACTAGTAGAGACCAAACAAATTAGTTCGTTATAGAAGAAGTTCGTTATATCCAAGTTAAGACAAAGCATAGGCTTAACGGAAAATATATATTCAGTTAGAAACTGGTGGGTTTTGTGTTCTTTCTACAGATATTTAAGCTGCCTCTCTTTTTCTTTCATAAACCTGACATTACGGCTGATATTTTTGTAAAGGTTGCTAGCGTTAGGTAAAAATGAACTTTTGTGAGAAATGGCATCGTTCAGTATTATGAACATTTATTACATGTTCGTTAAAACCGAATACAAATATATGAAAACTGAAAGTTGGGACCGAATAAATAGCTCTTTATAAACAAAGTTCGCTATATCCGTAGTTCGCTATATGAGTAGAAATTTGTATGAACATATGTCTTAAAAAGCTCTTTATAAACAAAGTTCGCTATATCCGTAGTTCGCTATATCCGTAGTTCGCTATATGAGTAGAAATTTGTATGACCATATGTCTTAAAACGTTGGTAGCTGGAAATGTGTTCGCTATAAAAAAAGTTCGTTATAAGCGTACTCGGCTGTATAAATAATAAAATAAATTCAATTATAGTACTTCTATTTGATACATTTCATAGAAATTTAACACTTGAGAACATAGTAATAAGACATGGAAATTTCTTCGAACATGCTGTATGTTCGGATTTTGTGAGAAATATTTTAGTTCGTAGGTTTCGTCTTTAAAATTTTCAATTTCGATATGTCGTTATAAGCGATATTCTTGAAATTTTGTCGTTATAGCCGATATGTCATGTTCGACTGTAGTAGTTACTGTGTTGTAAAAGTTGATCGAACATTAAAATTTCCGCTTTTATAGAAGATGATAGACCATTAACCGATATCTGCCGAGTGTACAACACCTAGTACGGCTGTTATGTTAAAGTCGTCTTCTTCTGTAGAAAGTAATCAACAATTACGTGCTCTTAAATGGAAGGTGGCCGATTATTAAAATCGTATTCTGTAGAATATCGCCTTTATCAGCGATATGGATAAATAGAAAGATGCTAATTTCAAAGCCACTGACTGAAACGATATTATTGAAATTTAAAAATTTAAATTTAAATAAAATATGTCTATGGGTTCAGAGCTACCGATTTTTGGCCAGATGTTATTTAATGGCCCAGATCCCTAATCAAAATATTTCCATTTAATTGTTCTGCTCTATATAATTTTTTACATATTTATTTATTTTTTTATGATATGTATCTGCTATACGACGATGTTATGACAATTACAGATTTACAGATCAATATATAAACTTCGTCTTATTGGACTTATTGTCATTAGTATAATTAATACCAATGAGGTTTTCAACAAATCATGCAATTACGAGAATGGTTTTATGAATTGATCTCACACATTGAATTTCTCACCTTGGAAAGGATATCCAGCAAATAACGGCCTCATATTAAGGGAATTCGCACCAGTCATATCCATTTTGAAATGAGTGTCCTTCCCAACAAATACAAAATCAATCTATATACTTGTTTCTATTTCTAAGCTAAGGTTGGTTTATTGCACTTTTCACCGACAAATTAACTATGCACTTTTCTCGTTTCGTTTTCTTAATAAAAAAACCGTCTTTCGCACATTATCCGACAGCTGGGTCTTAACATAATTACACTCGACGTTGCAACAATATTCGGTGGCGCGTACCGACGGTGTATACGCCAAACATAAGCCTATTCGATAACCAGGTCTTGAATAAATGCATAAATTGTTGCTGGACAAAGGGGTCTAATATTCGATAGATTCGATTTCCACAATTCGTTAGTTCTTCGCGTACTTGATAGGTCCGAGCGTATATTTTCGTTTTTTATATCGTTATCAATAAACGCGGCAATTGGATTCAATCAAAACTGCACGGCACTTGGCTATCGACTAAAGAGCGCGCGGTCCCGAATCAATAAGTTGAGGCAAGATCGCAATACCCACTACTAAAAACTGGTTAGATACGTTTGATTGGAAGCCACGACACCATTGGGAGTACTGAATACGCGGGTTGCCCGCTGTGATAAGTAGAGCGTGGAGTTGGCGGAATTCTCTCTCTCTCGAGTTCGAAAAAGGGGTGGAATTTGATATCAAACCCGTTTGTGCTTTCATTGTTTTTGAGGAGCGTTGAATGCAAGCAATTGCAACGATCAAAGCTTGTTCTCTCTCCCAGCAGTGAAGAGCTGCGCTATATTAACGGTCTCATCTCTCTCCCTCGCACCCTTGTGTTCGGTCAAATAAACGATTAGAATTGCAGTTTGGGGTGAGAGCGATTTGTGTGTGCATCCGTAGAGCACTCCTCGAATGCAACGTGTGTATGCATGTGTGTGTGCGTGTGGATCACGCGACGGCTTCTGATTGGTCTGCTTGGAAGAGGAATAAAACACCCTTCCTCTTCAAATTACTGAGTATTTGCGAACCACCACAATCGTAGCGCATTGTTAGTGTTGCTTCATTGTTCTATAAAAATGTCCGTCCGCCCGTCTGTTAACCATCCTTCGTACGACCGTTCTCATAATCATTGTCGTTATCAAACGCGGTGGATTTTTTTTATTAACGATCAAAATATGAATGTGAATGCTAACGAAGCAGCTGTCATGAGCTGCTGGGCTGTCGTTCTTGCTATTTGGTGTCCCCATTGTGTGCGCCACACACATATGTGTATAAAATGCTTCCAATCTAAAAAAAAAACATTGAATGTAGGTGGTGTGTATTTTTCCAGCATTGATATCATGAATTAAGTCTTCAGTCCTGTGATGGTGCTCTTTTAAGTAGCTTCCATTAATAGGTGTGTGTTAAACATAGTGTTCCATGAAAATGTGAACTTCATTCTACTTTATATAGGTTCGAAAGCAGTCGGCTAACCACGCCATGATTTGTTCATATATATCAAATCTATGGCAAGAGAGTGCTTCGAAATACCACATATATCTTGTGTTCAGCATTATACATCGAACATATTTTGGATGCAATATTTCGGATTTTTTATGAAATTAACTTTTTTGTTTTATATTTATATTTGAGCGATAGTCTGCAAATATTACGAACTATTAAACATGTCTATGTCGGTATTATATCTTCAGCGTGAGATAGAGTATTCAGCAATCCGTTGTACGAACTGTTGGATTGAGTGAATGACAGTGATTAAAATGTTGTATCGTTGAGTGTAGCTAATCATACCCAACATAGCGATTTTGTCAGGGTATTATAGCTTTGCGTGGCCCCAAGAGTTTGTAACGCCTCGAAATATTGGTCATAGGCCCACCTTTTAATATACCAAATTTTGCATGTAGGAATGACAATTTTGATAAAGTTCGGTCCATATTAAGAGGGTCAAATAGACCAATATGTTGTTGTATGTATTCGGATGTGGGAGTTCTACGAAAATATGTATTCCGATATTGTTTGGTATTACCATCGTCACACAAGAGGGATGGAATGGAATGCAAACGTTATGTTAGTCTGGTTTTCTAGTCACTCTAGCCACCCCAATTATAAGCCGAACATGACATATTATCCCTGCGTAACAAAATGCTATTTCTACCCATTTGCAGACTCCGGATAAAGCCTAAATTCAGCATCGAAAATATAAGATGCACAAATACTTTAGACTAATTTTATTCTAAATACTCCGGATGTAAAATAGTTAATTTTTAAATATAACTAACAAATCAAATATGCCGACATTGAGGGCATTAAGGTTGCTCCTTATCGGTCAAACTGTTTTATTGTGCAATGTTTCATAAAAATCTATGAACATTTTATGGAACTTTCGAGAAAACAAAATATCAAATCTACCACCAATGGAGATTGGTGTCGAGATGTGATTTTATAATTAAAAACTCGGAGATCTTCTCTGAATACAATTTGCATTACGGAAACGATTGATTAGTGAAACTAAATGTAAAGTTTAAAGCCGATTCTGAGGATAGATTCCTTGGCATTAAATATCATCAACATCATCAGTTTATGTTATTCGCTCTGCCTCCCAAACGCATTGAGGTAGATTCAGGGAGAATTAGACATTTGCAGTCATCGAACTTTTATAATTTTTAATGGTGCATATACAATTAAGCCGACATTTCTACAATGGTGCTATTATTTGATTTCTATTATTATAATCAAATGCTTTCCTGCAAATTTCATATTTTTCCTTTTGAGATAACGTGAAAAGGCAATAAGTTCACTTTTTCTAGAAATTGAGTTTTTGTTACAGACTGAACATGGCTGTAAGTAAAAATACATCGATTTTATAAAAACAATCTACAATTATCTCATTTGTTGTTGTTGTTGTTGTTGTTTTGTTATGATGGACCGACGAAGAACGGAATTGTGTATGCCTATGCAATTATTTTAACAAAGAACTATCATGATTATATTTATTATAACGTCATTGTTGTAGTTGAACAGACCAACATTTAAGTAGTAGACATCACTTAGGTCCATGATCCACTAAACCCCCATGATCTTGATACATATCATATCAGTCAAGAACTGGTCATATATCTCTGATGAATGGTAGTTGGCCTTGTCAATGAAGTCCCTTTTGTGTGTGCGTGTGTGTGTGTCCTCAAGATACATTTGCGTCATTTTATTGTTGAATTGAAGAACGAATTCAATGAAATTTAGCATGTCGTTTACAACTAGAATAGAATAACTTTATCCCCTCATAATCATCGATAATAGAAGACTTGAGACATCGAAAAACTGTGAATGAAGTGTTAAGTAGCTTCATTATATGGGGCTGAGGAATGAAAGTCACACTCGGCGTAAAATAGGAATCTGTGCGTCTGTATGTTTGCTTATACACATGTGCGTAGCACCAAAGGATCCATTGAGGACGAATGGCTTGAAGAATGGTTTCACGAACAAATGCCGACACAAAGAGTCCCAAAGAGTTTGTGGGGATGTGCCTGTGATTTAGTGCGGTGATAAATTTTATGGAATAAAGCTGTGTAATTTGAGACGAAACCTTTCTGTCGCTCTAAAGGACAGTCGTAAAATCGATGACGAAATATTACATTTCAGAGGATGCATTGACGAACTCTTTAGCACCATCATAAAACCATCAAATATTACGATACTTGGACATTCGGTTCTAAGAAGCGTCGGCAGGAAGAGCATCGATGTGCGAAATGTCTGTAGTGGATTCTCGCCTCCTGCACACCAACAATTTGGACTGTGTTGTCGCTTATACACTGCGTATCATAACTATAGACGCACCCATAATTCAATTGGTATTTTAGTTGACAAATAAAATGGACCCATTAAGTTATTGTTCACAATAAAACGATCAAAAACACATATTATTCAACAAAAATAATGAATTTATTCTTTATGGTTTCGCCGAATTCTGCACTTTCAAAATTGCTGGTGTTGCATAACTATAGACGCACTTTTACAAAATTAGAAAAAAAATATTTTTTAAAACTTAAATAAAATAAAATAACTTTTATAAATAATGGGTAGGGCCTCCCTTATTTTGAATAAGTTCAAAAATTTTATCCATCACACTGTTGATCAAAATTATTCGCAAGTCTCCATCGATTGACCGCCATTCATCGAAAATCACTTCTTGGAGGTAAAATACAGTTTGGTATTGGAGGCTTTCTGCATAGACACGATGAGTCAAGATTCCACACATGTTCTCGATCGGATTTTGGTCGGAAATTTTAATATTTTTCGATTTTAACCATACTTGAGTATGGCGACTTTTATGAACTGGTGCGTTGTCCTGCTAAAAAACGAGTCCTTGATTGTTGCTGCTTTCCCAAAATGGCAATAATTTGTCTTTCAAGACTTGAACGTACTCCATTGAATTCATCCGACAACATGGAAATGTCAAATAAAGCATTCCGTGGCTATAAAATGCTCCCAAGGTGGCGGTTACCGTAATATCGTTATTTCTTAATACGATATTTCGGTGGCGGTTCCCTAATGGCCTTGGGAGCATTTTATAGCCTTTATTTGACATTTCCAAGTTGTCGAATGAATTCAATGGAGTTCGTTCAAGTCTTGGAAGACAAATTATTGCCATTTTGGGAAAGCAGCAACAATCAAGGACTCGTTTTTTAGCAGGACAACGCACCAGTTCATAAAAGTCGCCATACTCAAGTATGGTTAAAATCGAAAAATATTAAAATTTCCGACCAAAATCCGATCGAGAACATGTGTGGAATCTTGACTCATCGTGTCTATGCAGAAAACCTCCAATACCAAACTGTATTTTACCTCCAAGAAGTGATTTTCGATGAATGGCGGTCAATCGATGGAGACTTGCGAATAATTTTGATCAACAGTGTGATGGATAAAATTTTTGAACTTATTCAAAATAAGGGAGGCCCTACCCATTATTTATAAAAGTTATTTTATTTTATTTAAGTTTTAAAAAATATTTTTTTTCTAATTTTGTAAAAGTGCGTCTATAGTTATGCAACACCAGCAAT